CCTGCAGGAATTTCTGTCAGGCCTAAGACACCTGTTTTTACTATAACCAAAGATGCATATACTTTAATGTACATAAGTAACTCTTTAGACAATGCATGTAAAGATGCAATTTATTTTACAGATGGAACTATTTATAATCAAAATAACATACAGCAATATAGACATCTGTGAAAAGCTGTAAAACTGTTTCAGCTTACAATATTTTTCTTATTAAACATACCCCGCTAACGTACAGCGAGCAGCACCTATAGAAAATAGCCTGAAATATGCATGCACCTGTTTGTCATGAATGTTCAGTGAAAGCGTGACTTACATGTCCACAAGGTGCTTTCTGTAAAGTGATTGTGAATTTGTTTTTCCCAGTGCCTTTTACCAAAACGTACTGGCAAATCCCAAGAAAGGTAAAGTGACGACCGTCAAATGTTGTGAAATGAGAGTTACCTGTGATGGAGCACTCAGCTTGAGAGAGAAAAAAGTTCAGTAATTGTAATAGGTAATTTAAAAAAAAGAAAAAAGAACGTTCACTTGTCTAAGAATATAACACTACCTTATAAATGATGGAAAAGAGATAAATAGGAAACTTTTCCCTAAGCATATAATACAGTCTATTTTTAATGTATCTAGCTATTATGCCATTTGGAAATGAAATATGTTATATACAACTGTTTCCATTGGATATCATCTCACATTGCACATACCCATGTGCAGCACCCTTCAGTTCTAATTAGATGAGATGCTCTTGAGTCATGACTTTTCTAGCATACATGAAAGAATTAAAGAACAGCAAGAGTTTTCTCTTTATTTCAACTTTGACATTTCCTAGAATCTTTTGCTCATCTTCTTTTGGCATGACTGAGTGCGAAAGAGAGAACAAGCTTCTTTGTCCTCCCTCCTACATACTATGACACTACTTGTTACCACTGGCATAGAGAGGGTAGGTTTAAATAGGGGGGTTGTACTGAAATCTAGGGGAGCAGAGATCTGCTTCCTATTCTCAGGTGCCTCTATGTTAGTGCTTTCGTTTGGATCAGGAGCGCATTGCTGAACCAAGTCTCCTGCATATCCCCACTTACTGCACGTTGGTTCACATCACAGCGCAGCACCAGAGCACATAAACCAGACTATTTTTGGCTACAGCTATACCAGACAATACTCTGCGGGAGCACATCTAACCCACTCCCTCTGTTAAAGGCATTCAGTCCCTAAGATCAGGCCAGACTAGTCAGAACTAACCTCCCCAACACACACAAAACCCATATGGAGTGGTTCTCAGTGCTCACTGCTTTACTCTACAGATCCACTCCTGTTAAGCCTTGTTCATTACCTCACTCAGAGGGGGTTCCTTAAGTGGAAAATTTTCTCTTTTTTCAACAGGTTTCATAATATAATGTTTTCTAAGGCACAGAACTGCCAAGGGAGTTTCACTACTTTACTACTATAAGCTTTTTTGAGTAACTCATTACATAGACATGGAATCTTTAAAGGTTAAGATTATCTAAACAGTAATTGCTATTTCACAGATAGAGTGCTCTGAGCATCAAAATGATGTTCTCTTATATTATTTGCATTGCAATTGCACCCAGAAGTCAGGAGATCTTTAAAGCTGGCCTTCTGCACAGGTGGCAGAAATAAGCTGCCTGTCCTGAAGAACAGAGATTTTAAGTTGGGGATAGAAGGCAGCAGGTGGATACAACACAACAAATTTAGGAAGCAAATGGGAAAACATAAGAGGATAATGGTCAGACAGCTAACAGCTGCACCCCAGCTAGCTAGCTACTACTTTTGGGTCCATCTGCCTAACCTTTATTCTTAAATTAGCATCCCAGACCCTTAGACCACATTTAATTCTGAGAGATAGGAATCGTGAACACACAGATACCTGGGCAATCATGATCAGTGCAGTTCCAAATGCCACCAATACAAACACTAAAAAGAAAAATCGCAAAATACAGAAATTCAGTGCTCTGATTTTTAGCAAAGCAAAGGTCTTTGAGCTCATTCATGTATTGAATCCACCATTTTCTTAGAACAGTCGCTGCATTTTAGCACACACACAACCTAGACTGTAAACACAGATACCAACTGTTCTTTAAAATACAAGTGTGACTATGATCTTAAACTAAACATGGACAGCAGTCACAGAGAGAGGGAACATAGACGTGAGGTTTTCACATACCAATTGCTACATTCTTGTTCAATTTCTGAGCCTACAGGGAAGGCAGTTCCATGATAAATACAAGGACAATTCGACACAGAGATACAAGTTCCATTTTCCATAATGAGACCTATTGGGAAAGAAGTTAATAAATGAGAACAAGAACAAGTTAATGAATTCCAGATCACTGCTGTTCCCCCATCTGACTCAAACATTCAAATTTGTCAGAAGGTGAGCTCACCAGTTTTAACTGGGAACCAGCAGAAAGAACCACCTAGTGCGTACGGAGAGTTCAGAGTGATCAACAGTTTTGAGAAGCTATCTCAATGCAGTTTTCACTCTGAATAGTTGCTCAATGGACCAGGTCTGCCTTAAATACATAGAATTACACAGACTTGAAAATGGAAAGATGCTGAGATCACACAGTCTTTAGTCCTGCCAGAACAGGACCATATGTAGCACAGCCCCTAATTTTTATTGAGTACAGGCCTCGCGAAGACAGTTTTCCTGTACAAAGCACAAGATACATTCTTTTTAAGTAAAACCTCAGCACATTTAGGAATAATTCAAATAAAATGGATTAAACCTATGCAATGACTGCATTGCAGACAGAATTAATGATGGCTCCAGATTTTAACTGATGCATTCTGAGCCACATTTCATATTCTAAATAAGTGTTTAGGCCATGATAAAAGGAAGAATCCCAGTAAAAATAACAAAAACTAAAACAGAAATGACAATATCCATTTTTTCTGGCTTTTAATTTTAAACATAGTCTACTTCGACAGCTTTATTATGATGCTGGACATTAGCTTTGTACATGTTTTTTCACATTAAAAGGACAGCACTTACCATCTGGACAGTAACAGCCATCTAAGCAGTGCAGATTGCTGCCAAGACAATCCTTTTCAAAGGTGCAGGTTGGCGGACAACAGCTGATACAGTCACGGTGTACAAAGCTGTCTTCACACTTTTCAGCTAGAACAAGTACACATTACATCGGACATTAGTGCAGTTTCTCTTGCCATAACGGAGAAGTTCTAGCTCTACAAATAAACAGTTGTGCAACACTTCTGGTATAGATAGTTGCTCAGATCAGTTACAAGCAATTGTTTGGAGGGGCTGTAACTGATAAACTGCAGCAAATCTCACATCAGAATTTAAGTCTTCTTTATCAAATTCTTACATCAGCCCTCCACCAGAAGTTACAGTTCCTGTGAAAGGGGAGGTAGAATAGGAACACGTGCTCATATCTCAGCCAGTTCAAAGTGTTGCGCGTGAGACGGAACTGCAATTGATATGAGGCAGTGATGACTAGACGGAGCAGAGACTTGGGTGCAGGATCCACTGTTTTAATTATGGGGCCCCATTATGTTATGGGGCCAGCAGAGGCTGAAAGGTCAGCTAGGAAGAGAAGTAACATCAAATCTCCACAGATGTTTGTTCTCCATCTTAGAATACGATCAACACACATAAAGTTTCAAGGAATCTGCTGAAATATGAATTTTGCATGGATCTAGATCATATCACAGCAGAATTAAAATATCCCTCTAACAAGTCATTGACTTTATTGTTCACAAACAACAGTGAAGCTGGCTGATCTACTTCTCTATCAGATTTGACTCCTATAGTTGTCAAGATGGAATTATTTGAAATGGATACTCAGAGTATTTCAAAGGTCACATGGTATGCTTTAATAATACATGAATCTTACTGCAGGCAGGAAAGTCATCCCTCCAGTCACGCACAGGGGACCCGGCATGAGAACATGCTCTAGCATATTCTGTCACTGCTCTGCAATATGTTTCATCATCATCCACTCTGAAATGATAAAACAAGGCAGTAAACACCGAACCCAAACCCCATTAACAAATCTCTGCCACAGGACACTGCGCAGGATACTCTGCACACAGCTGACACTGCTTAATCGGAAAGGTGCACTTAATGAATGTACTGTGAAAAAGGACCAGCTATACTGAATATGCTGTTATGCTTTTATCACTTGATATCACAAAAAGTTATTTCATTTTAATATTACCACAATGAACAAGAATAGTAACTTATCACAAAGAAGATAAACGTTGCTTAGGGTGAGAAATATGATCTTGTCATGAAGACAA